CCCCGTGTGAATCCGCGTCCTTCCCAGCCCTTGCCCAGCCGAGAGATTTAGCCCTTTTGATCTCTCCCTGCCACTCGCCAGCAGTGGTTTGACGCTCCCTTTGAACTGCCTCCCATGTGTCTCCAGCCTCCTGGTGGCGAAGCGCCCCCCAAGCCGCCCAAGGCCAAGGAGCGGGTGTGGTTTTCACCCCAGGACTGCAGCGCCGGCTTCTCGCCCGTCACCGCACCTCGCTGGGCTGCAGCACACGGTGTGACGGGCTCTCTGTGCCCGGAGCCGCTGGGCACGCGCCCAGGGTAACACCTCTCCTTCACCCTCTGGTGTGGCGGGGCTCACCTCGAAACCAGCAGCAAACTGAGCAACCCCAACGGCTGACTTGGAACGAGCTGATTTTGAAATCGGGAGCGTCGACGCGGCCCTGGTTCGCACCTCGCTGGGCTGCAGCACACGGTGTGACGGGCTCTCTGTGCCCGGAGCCGCTGGGCACGCGCCCAGGGTAACACCTCTCCTTCACCCTCTGGTGTGGCGGGGCTCACCTCGAAACCAGCAGCAAACTGAGCAACCCCAACGGCTGACTTGGAACGAGCTGATTTTGAAATCGGGAGCGTCGACGCGGCCCTGGTTTCGCATCTTCCCCCGACTCCCCTTCCTCCTCGTGCCAGGAGGCTTCCAGGAGGCGGAGGAAGAAGTCCGCCAGCTCGACAGCGTTTGGACGTTCTTCCGAAATAACGGCCAGCTGCGTGGACCCCGGAGGAAGCTATTTCGAAATAATGTTGCCGTGTAAAGTCCTGAAGAGGGGGGACGTCCCCGCGGGCAGCTCTGGGCTGCCTTCCTGCCGTGGCTGGGACCTTGTCCTATCGGCCGGCCCCGGCTGCATGTCCTCTCTCAAGCGCGAGCTGTGGGCCTGCCAAAGCAGATGGGGGTCGAACGGCAGAGCCCGGGCAGCTGCGTGCAACTGGGCAGCCCAGTCTGCTCCCCCAGGGAGCCCCAGAGGAGCCTTCGGAAAGCCCCTTTGTCCACGCCAAGCCACATGGAATAAAGGACGCGCTTTGTTCTGCCGCCTCCCGCGGGGCAGCCGAGCCAGGCTGGTTTGCTGGCTCCAATCTGGCCTGGCCAGGGCGAAGCAGGGGGCTGAGTCTCCACCTGGCAGAGCTGACCCCCGGGGCACGAGACCAGCGCCCACTCGGGGCCCAAGCCTCCGGCGCCGAACCCACGCTCTGCTCTGGCTGGCGTGGAGGGGATTGTGATGCAGAGGCTGGAGGCGGGGGATGTGGGCCAGTGGGGAGAGCAGCAGCATGATTAAACTCCCTTGTGCTCCCCCCTCCCCGATTTCCTCCGGTAACACCGGTCCCCTGGCCGCTCCGCAGGAGACCAGCGCCCACTCGGGGCCCAAGCCTCCGGCGCCGAACCCACGCTCTGCTCTGGCTGGCGTGGAGGGGATTGTGATGCAGAGGCTGGAGGCGGGGGATGTGGGCCAGTGGGGAGAGCAGCAGCATGATTAAACTCCCTTGTGCTCCCCCCTCCCCGATTTCCTCCGGTAACACCGGTCCCCTGGCCGCTCCGCAGGAGCATGTCAGACTGGGGAGAAACGGGGGGATGTGAATCGACTCCAAGGCTGCGGCTGCACTGCGGGGTATTGGGGTACCCCAAGCAGCTCTTGAGCCCGCGCGCTCCTTTGCACTGGAAGGGGCTGGCTGTCCCGGCGTCCCCGGAGGGGGAAGGGGCCTTTGGAGAAGCCCACATAGCGCCGTGCGGACAGCGCCAAAGCAGGAAATCAGCGACGCCATTTGCATAGCTCAGCTGGCGCATCTTCTCTCGCGCTCGGCGCAGTGTAGACGCCCCCACGGGCCCTGGATCCTGGGACATCCCCAGAGGCCTCCGGTCTGAGGTCCGATGTGCCGGGTGGGTCTGGCAGCTCGCACCCTTCAGGGCTGGAAACGGGCAGCATGGCAGGGA